GGCTCCTTGGTGCAGGATGGAGTCAGTGCTGAAAAGAGAATCAGAGTGGCCTGTAGACCAAGGGCCAGATGCCCCCATTTGGCTAACACAGAATTCAGAAAAATCTAAAAGTTCTAAACTCCATCCTGTCTCCCAAGCCGTTTTGAAGGTATATTTGTCAGGATAGGAGAGTAGAATGTATTTTGTTTAACAGTTTATTAGCTGGATTTATTACTTTTAAATATTTTGACCTATGGGATGAGAACCTCCATTCGTACTCTCACTCTAGGGCCCATACATGTTAGGAGTGGGTCTATTCCTTGTGCAGAAAGATATTAAATAATCACACAAAGAAACGCAAAATGGACCCATAATGCTAAGAAGAATAAGTACACTGTTTGGGTCACTTCAAAAATGTTCCACTGGATCTCCATTCTCAGGGCTCTCATTGCATCTTAGGGTCTCCAGGTTCCCCTGAGCCCTGAAATGCCCTTGTCTCATTCCCCAATGACCCCAAACACTGACTAAAACATTTCATACTATTCTCACCCCTTCTGAGCACAGAGAAGTGGAAGGAAGCCAGCCCCACAAAGAATGAAAAGGCAGGCCAAGCCTGCTAAACTCTTCTGGATGCGTCTCCTGCTTTCCTTTACGTCCGGAATAGGTGCCTCCCACCCACTGCTGACTGCCATGGTGGATTGCATCCTCATCCCACCTCCGGCCGCTCCACAGCTGCCCAGTTGGGAGGCGGTTCACCTCTTTGTCGAGGTATCCATGTGTGGAGCACCTGGAGGTGGTACAAAGACAAAATCCACCACGGCAGTCAGGGGGTGGCACGTCTCTTCTGCTTCCATCAGTCTAACCTCAGCCTTGCAGCCGAAATCTATTTTTCTCACTTGGTCTTCAGCAGCAATAGAGAAGCCTTCCCTGACTAATTGGGGATAAGGTAGCAAATTCCCCCACTCATCTCTTTGAATAGGCACCCCACCCACTGGCTGCTTTTAAACATGCATCTCTTTCTTGTACCTGATATTACTGTAATTCACTCAGGCTCACTGTCTGCGTGTTCTTGATCTCTATCTGCCCCTGTGATGTCTGGGTTCCATTGTGACACTCCCAGAGGGCAGGGCCACTTCTATCCTGTGTCTCTGGACCCTGTTCAGCAGAACACAGGCACAGGTAGGTGCTTGATAAAGACTTTGATGATGGAAACAGATGAGCAGCGCTGTATGTCTAGGGCATTGTAAGTCTACAAGAAGCAATCCACTAGCACAGCCACCCCACAACCATAGCAGCTTCCCTGCCACTCTGTGAGCTGGGGCACACTTTTCCTTTTAAATGAGGCAGGGGTGGCACCCTTTTGCATCTTAGATAGCAATAATAACAATAACAGAACACTATCACAGCACTGCTCTAATAGTATGACTGATCGGATGCTCAGAATAATCTCGTGAAGTAGGACTGTTGTTGTTACTTCTGTTTTACAAATGAGGACTCCAAGGCACAGAGAGGCTATGTAACTTGTTCAGGCCTCCAGCCGGGGCCATCTGGCTTCGTACACCTCAGCTTACCCACCACAGCACATGGTACACTCGAAGTAGACTAGGGCATCTCCAACTAAAACTGGGGAGCAAAGGGCTGCAAGCTGGGCTCCTGTCCTACAGTGTCCACAGGTTCTGCCCCCATTCAGCATGAATGAATGGCTGAAAGAGGGCAGCTACTCAGTAGGCTTCCAGCAGAAGCCAAGTAGGTGCAGAAATCATGGGTTCACACTCTATCCCTCCTTCTCCTCCTGTATTTTTTGTTTTTCAGACACACTAAGCTTGTTCACATTCAGGCTTTTGAACTTGCTGTTTCCTCCACCTGGAATGCTCTTTCCCTAGACCTATGCAATACTGGGTCCTTCTCAGCATTTACTGTCAGCTTAGATGGCACATTCTTAGGAAGCCTTTTCCTGATCCTCCTATCCAATGTGTCTGGATCTTTCTCGCCCCCTCCCTTTCATTCCTGTCTAACTCACGTTCCTTTTTAAATTTCATCATGGCACTTAAGGCTATCTGGAATTATCTTATTTTTCTACTAGTTAACTTGTCTATTTCTGTGTCTCCACTAGAATGTCAGCTTCAAGAGAGCAGAAATCTCATCTGTTTTGTTCACTATTGAATATTCAGTGCCTGGAACAGCATCTGGCACACTGTAGATGCCCAATACACATTTGTTAAATAAATGAATGCATGAATGGATGGATGCAAAGTCCTCTGTAGGAATGTGCAAAGGTGGGACTAGCTGGAGCCTCCTGTTGCCTCACCACATATATTGCAAGCCCTTAGCTAGAAGAGATCAAATCTTCATTTTGAGCAGCCTTTTAGTCCCTAGAGCAGTAACAAATGACTGGGGTGATGAGTGTGTGTGTGGTGATGGGGGAAGCTGTTTAGTTCCTTTGTTTAGGCAGGGATAAGACCAAGACACTCAGCTGCTAAGATTGCAGACCACACTCCCTCCAGGGCCTTGTGTAGACAATTGCTGGACAGCTCTCCCCTAACAGAAACCAAAATGCAGAAATCTCAGCTTCTCTGTCTTCCTATCCCTGTCTCCGTCTCTCCCTCCCCACTCCTCTGCCTTTATTTCTCTAGAGTTTCCTCTATCTCCTCTCCTTTGTCTCCCTTCCTCATTGAAATGCTGTGAAAAAAATGAGAAGAAAGTGGGAAACTGTGTTCTCCGTATCTAATGTAGTACTCATATTACTCTTATTACTACTATAACACAATCTCATTAAAACCTCTTAGCTCCTGCACAGATAAAGTAAAACTCCAAAACATAATAATCATATGCAGGAAGGGCTTGATTTGATCCAATCTTAATGCAGACATAGCCCCCTAGTCCTCCCACATAATAGGGCCCGTTTCTTTATTGGTGTTAGCCTTTTTATTTAATGCTTTATTCATGACACATCATAAAAATAATGAACAAGAAAGGAAAGCTCCTAACCTCCCACCAGACCTTGTATCACATGAGGGCATTTCACAATATTGCCAATGATCCTTTTCTTGTTATTTTTGCAATAAAATACACTTTTCCATTATCAAAATATATTTTCATTATATATTAATCCCTTCCAAGAAATTTTCACACTCATTATCTCCTTGATCCTCCCAACACACCTCTGAAAAAAAGGAGGGAGACAGAAAAAGATATCTCTAAATCATAGAAGTTGAAAAAGGAGCCCAGAGGTGTAAAGCCATTTGGAAAGTTCAAACAGCAGGTAAAATATTATCCTAGGACACCTCCAAATCCTGCTGTTTTCTGGAGACAAGCCAAATAAGTACTCTTGCCAGAAGCCACACTCCCAGCAGCCCCTGTGACTTGCAGACCTGAGCCAGCCCATGTGGGAGAAGAAAGAAATAGCTTAGGAGGTTAGTAAGCTAAATAATTCTTTCTTTTAGAAAAGATGAGGCTCCTGATTGAGGCAAGATCTTGAGCCAGAGCACCCCAAAATGAAGCACCCCTCTTGCTGTTAGCCAAGACACTCTAGCTGGTAGCCCTGCCAGAGCTCTCGCTGGAAGTGGAGAGAAGGGCTAAAAGAAAGGCATCCTGGACCTTCTTGCCTAACAGGAGTTTTCCACTCTGGGCAACACTTTTTTTTTGGTACTTCAGGTAATTCTAGTAGCAAGAAGGAGGAACCCAGCCCTCAGCCTCTCAGGGACATTTATTCACACTGAGATCTATATCACTTTCCCCCATAATGCCCGGGCTGTGGCCCCAGGCATCACTGGTCCCTAAAGTGCTTTGTCCATTAAGAGTTAGGAGAAAAAAATGAATGAAAATGTCAGCCAAGTCTGTGTCTCGCAGAGCAAGCCCTCAGCAAGAACCAGAGCAAGTCAGGAGCACCAGCATGGCACCCTATTGCACAACCACCTGTTTGAGGAGCACCCAGGAGTCTCTCCTCCACTTTGGGAAACTACTGAAGAAGTGGCTGATGTGAACACACATTGCCCACGTTGCAATTGAAAGTCCCTTCTCCAGTATCACTAACTAGATCAGATTTCAGGTGGGCCTTTCTATCTGGGATTCTTTGGAAAATCTTGCTACAAACTGGCTCTGGAAGAATGTACACATGCTATCCAGAATTGCAGGCACTAGATTGTAAGTGGAGTAAAAAGAGGTGTCTGTGGAAATCTGAATGGGTAGGGTAGGAAGAACCCACCAGACAGAGAAAGGTCTGGCTCATGAGATTCTTGGCACTCCCTATCCTGGATGGGGAGAGTTTAACAGACATTCTAAGCCAATGTGCTTCAGGCCTGGGAAGGGGAATAGATGTGACAAGATTCCCTACCCACTTCTTCATGTCCCTTAAACTCTTTCTCACCCTCATTTACCTTCCTGCTTTCAACATAGAAAAATTTTAGTCTGCCAAGAAGTATCTTGGCAAACCGTATAGTCTGTGACCTAGAATCGCTCTCCATTTCCTCCTCAGTGGCTAGAACATACTGCTGAGAATGTCAGTGTACCATGGGAGAAGGCGGTCTCAAAGTGAAAGAACAGTCTTGCTGGATTTCAACCTATGAGAACAGGGAAAGAGAACAACATCTCAGCACACTTTCAGAGAAAGAAGAAATTTGAATCTGGGACTGAAGATGGGCTGGGGAAAATGCTACTAACACAAATCAGATAAAAGGATAGCTTGGCAACCAGCAAGAATGCATCATCAACTCCCTTCATTTCATTGCTTCTTCATCTTCTATACTGAGGATGTTTGTGGAAATTTTGGATGGAATTTAAGATACTAGCATTGAAAGAAAAATGCAAAAACTAGAGTGACATTGAGCCACCAAACAGGCTCCATCAGGAACCAGACACCAATTGGGCAAACTTGACCACAGGAAACATCAATGAGGAGCTCTTAAAATGCATAGTCCTCACACTAGAGACAGCATAATGGCTCCCCAGAGCAAGCAGGCCAGTAGCAATCTGCAAGACCTGGAGACACCACAGGACGTAGGAAAAGGGAAAAGGGGACTCACCTGTTCTGGCCCCTGGAAGCAGATGCGGCAGAGTGGGGTCCTCATACCACTGTCCAGGCTGCTGCCCAGTGAGTAGCAGTCCTCGGCCTTCTCCTTACAGAAGTCATCTGAGGAGGCACTGCTGAGCAGCAAGGCAGGTGGCTCTATGGCTGGGCCACCCCAGTCATCTTCCACGGAGGAAGGTGGCAAAGGTGGTGGAGGTGGCACAGGAGGTATCTCCCTGCCCATCACCTCTCGAGGGCCCCTCCAGCCTGCCCACCCCCCGGCACCCAGAGCCGGAAGGGTGTTGTTGTTGGCCGCCAAACCGGGGGGCTGGGGGTCGCCGTGCATGGGCAGGGGCGCTGGAGGAGGGCGCCGCAGTAAGAAAACCTTCAGGTCATTGAAGAGCATGCGGCAGCGGCACTTGAGGAGACCCTGGTGGCGCAACATCTGGGGAGCTGGGGCGCACAGTCCACAGCAGTACCAGCCACAGCAGCAGCAGCACCAGAGCAGCCCACACAGGGGCATCAGCATGTGCCCAGAGGAAGCAGAGAGCCCGAGAGGGACAGCTGAGTCTTTGACGAGGAGGATAGGATGGGTTTGGGGGGTCCACAGTGTATCTGTGTTTTGGAGGGGCTCTGCTTTCTCACTGGCTCTTCTTACAACCCCTCCAAGTAGCAAATAAATTGCTCCTAGGACTGAGAACTGTGAGTCATTGATTCTGAACTCTACCTGGAAAGCTCAACAACGAAAAAGTTTTTCTTGCCCTTGTGCCCCACCCCACCCCAATCTTAGACTGTGCTCAAGGTGTCTCCTTTCTGCCGTTGACCTGGGGACACTGGTAGGAGCAGGAGGATAGAAGTGCTGTGAATAGTCACTAGAGCCTTAAGATCAATGTCTAATTGTGAAAAAGTTCCCCAGAAAAGGATTGTTGGGTTCTTCTCAAATTCCTAGGCGGTAGGAAATCTCTTTCTTTTATATGAAAGGGTGGGGACGACTATAAATCAAAGTTGAGTGGATTGAGCTAGGCTTAGGGAAAACTAGCTCAATGCAGAATTGAGGACTGCATGTGTGAGAGAAAAAAGAGAGTTTTTCTCAGGTAGTAGGAAATTCTCAGGTGGAGAGGGGGATCAAAGTGGGGAAGGAGATGAGCTTGGGAGAAGTTTTAATTCTCCTGGGCAGAAAACTGGGGCAAGGAACCCCCAGAAGCACCAGAGTTGCCTTTGAAAGAGCAGTTGGGTGTGTGTGTCGGGGGAGGAGGGTGTAGGTGAAATTGGGCAAGGGGTTTGTGCTTTGCCTCTGCAGCCAAAGGGCTACACGGAAGAAGGGAAAGCCAATTAGAATGGAGGTGGGGAAACGAAGGGTTAGGGAGGGGAAAGAGAGAAAAAGAAAAGATCTTTTAACCCTTGCAGAGCCGCCTTCTTCCTGAGCATTAAGATCCTGGCTAGAGGAAGGGTGTGTATGGGGGTGAGAGGGCGGTGGAACAGAGAAAGGGGTAGAGAAGAGGGGCGTGTGGGAGGGGACAGGAGAGAGGAGTAGTTACATTATCTCAGCCCCCAGCCCAGCCCTGCTGCAGTCCGTAAATCCGTGGGCCCCTCCCCTTGGTTCCATCAAAGGTCCCTTGGGGCCAGGGGCAAGAGCCGAGAGAAGGGCAGGTCCGGGCGGCTGAGTGGCCTCGCCTTCTCCTCTTCTTCCTCTTCTGGGTCGTCGTCGCCCTCCTCCTCCGGCTCCGAGTCTGCCCGCGCCCGCCGCGGCTGCTGTGGCGGCGGAGGCGACTGCTGGTCGGTGTCCGGGTGTCTCCGGGGCGGGGGCTGCTCCGGCTCGTCCTCTGGCTGCTGCCCGCCGTCCGGCGCGGTCGCGACTCCCGGCTTCATGATCCTCCTCCTCCTTCCCGGGGGGCCAGCCCTGAGCCCCCGCGCCGGGGCAGCGCTGCCATGCAACCAAAGGCGAGGCAGGCGTGGGGGTGGGGGCGGCTGGGGACCGAGGGGGAGTAATAAAAAACGCAATAATACTAGTGGAATAATTCGGTTCTCAAATAATCAGGAAAGAGTGCTTCTGGAGGGTGGGAGCGGAAGAGGGCGGCTGCCGGGTCTTCTCCGCAGCTCTGCCCCCGCTACCCCCACCCAGGGCGGCCTCGGCCCACTCTCTGCACCCCCACCCCACCCCACCCCGCCCCTCCCTCCTCTCCGCTGCCTCTGGCTGGCTGGGCTCTCCTTGCTACCTCTCCTGGCAGATGCAGCGAGGTAAGGCTTGTTTGCGGCGCCAGCTGAAGGTGGGGACTGGGGTGCGAAGCAGCGTGGCCCAGGTGGGAGGCAGCCGGCACTTGGCTCCAGCTTGGTCCTCGCGACTCCCCAAAACCGTATATAAATATATCTCTTATAAAAGCCGAGAGGAAGCAAATCAGATTCCAGGCTGCTGCCAGGTGTTGTCTCGTCTTCTGCCGTTGCTCAGCACCCGCCGCCGCGACTGCTGCCCCCCTGGCTCAGTTCCCAGAGGGGTGGTGCTGGAAGGGAGGTGGCGGGGCGGCGAGCTGACCGTCCGCGGACTGGAAACAAGGTTCCTGGAGCGGAGGAGGCTCTCAGCGACCGCCGCCGCCGCCGCCGCCGCCGCCGCCGCTGCTGCATTCAGCACCCAGGCGAGTGGACAGCTCCCACCCAGCCCGCGCGTCACGCCGGTGGGGCCTGACGCAGACGCGCGGAGGGATGGAGGAGGGAAAGGGGATGCGAGGAAAAGAGGCTAAAGGGAGAGGCGGCCAGGGAGGAGAGAAGAACTGTGCGAGGGAAGGAGATGGGGAGGGACCAGGGGAAAGGGAGGTAACACAGAGAGGGAGGGATTTAGGAAGGGAGGAGGGAGCAGAGCAAAGAGTAAAAGAAAGAGGGAAAAAGGCGACTGGTGAAGGCACTAACTCGTGCATTTCCCCGCTGGAAAGTGTCGGTGTGGATGGTACGGTGTAGAATCTGCCCGCTGTACACGATCATGGCCCCTCAACGCACCTTCACTGAGATACCCACCTCTCAACCAGAGTCCATTTGCATGCTCATATAAACACTTCAAGTAGATAACAGTCTGCAAGCTTTGGAAGAGATAAAGTTTTGTGACTTCCACAATGAAGCTGGGACTTGATGGAGATTAAGTGCCTCATGACTAAGACCTTAGGAGGAAGAAATGCTCCAAACTTTCAAACAGGGAGGAGGATGCTAGCACCATTTTTGTCAGTTTCTTCTTCTAGAATTTAAGCTCCAGTGGGCAGGGATTTTTTTCTTTTTATCCATTTTGAGCCTGTATGCCTAAGTCAGTGAGGGCATGTAGCAAGAGTTCAATACATATTTGGTTAATAGCTTGTGCCCACCGTCACCCCTATATATGGCCATCAATACCACAAGTCAGACTCCTCTTCAATTGTGAATCATAAGAATCCACAGCGATATTACAGCCTCATCTGAACCAATATCTCCAGCTTCCTCCCTATCCAGCCTTCATTTGAAATGGATTTTAATTTCCTCTCCTATTTCTGCTTCTGACTCATGTCACCTTACCTTATCCTTCTCAAGGAGTTTCTAGTGAGCAGAAAAGTGTCCCTAAATATGAAGAGCAAGAAAAAGAAGGAAACTTAAAATGATCTGTATAAAAACTCAGTATTTGCAGCTGTAACTTTGGTCATTTAAATTTTAGGATTTTTTTTTTTTTGCCTTTCCTTATAACTCCTCTTTCTCCCCCTACCATGCGTGTGTGCACACACACACACACACACACACACACACACACACACATACCCTAGGGTCATAGACTTGAAAAAGACATTGCAATGAGTCATCTAAGCAGCTGTGGTAATGCCTTTAGAAATATTGGAGCCGTAGGCACAGTAGCATGCAAAATCTCCACACTAAAATATCATTGGCATGAAGTTCAGCCCAATGAATCATAAGAAAACTACCCCTTTGCTATCATCTCTATGAATGATCCATTCCCACAGACTCTAAGGAGCAAGGACCTATTTCTCTGTCTTGGTTAACCCAGAGTGGCTGCTTGTCTGAATCATGTCCCAGCATCCACTGTGGATGCTGAGACCCAGCCCAAGGTGATTGGTTTGAAGGTGATGCTGATGCTTTTAAAAACTACAAAATAATACTTATTTATGGATGTCAGCATGAACACCATGCTGCAAAAGAGAATCTCTAAAATAAAATTCAATCTCCCATCAAAGAAAATCTGTGCTCCACATCACCCAGTTATGTACCTCGGGCATTGCAAAAATCACATTCTATGATAGTTATCTCATCATACATTTATGAGTCAGAGCTCCTTGAAGGCAGGGATCGGTATTTATATTTGTATCATTAGCACATAACACAGCACTTGAAGTTCACTAGGTGATCAAGAAAATGGACTCTAAATAAATGAATGCCTGTTTTGTTTCAGTGAAGCTATCCTATTTCTCCCCTTCAGCCTAGGCACATACCTGTGAGTGCTCTCATACAAGACTGAATATCTGCTTTACCTAAATTAAGTTTTAGGGTTTTGTGCTCATAAAATGCTAGTTCCAAGTGTGTCACATAGGTAAATTGGGGAAGGAGATAGAAAAGCCACATGAAGCGTATATTCAGAGTCATAGAAATGAGTGATATTCATAACAAGACTGTCTTTTCCAACCTTTCCTCTGAAAGTGAAAAGATCTCTAGAAAGAGAAAGCTGCTAAGGATGGAAAGCAACAACAGATTGTATTCACAAAGACTGAGAGGCCTTAGAGGCCTGCTTTGAATATAATGTAAATCTGGAAAAACACCTCACTTAATTAGATTCTTCTTATGTTGGTGTTGAATCATGAGTCCCAAGAGTAAAAACAACCATAAAGAACATGTTGGATCAATGGTCTCCATTTAAACATTCAAAAAATATTTACTGAACACCATTCATAGATAAGGCATTATGTGGAAAGATGTGTGGAACACAAAAATAAATTGGTTGGAGTTGCATCTTTAAAGGTCTAGCACTATAAATATGTACACAATCATAACATAAGGCATAAAATAATAACAACTACAAAGGTATAAAAGTTTGGGAGTACTCAGAATGGGGAGACAATGCTCATAGGTTGGCAGCAATTAGGAGAGGTGGGAAGAGGTGGGGGGAGGGAGGGGGGGAGAGAGATGCCAGAGCTCTGGGAAAGTTTTTTTCCAGAAGTGATATTTGAACTGAGTTAAAATATGCAGAATTTAGAGGAGGGAAGCATATTCCCAGCAGTGGGAGCTCTGAATACTTTAGCTTTTCCATTTGGCTGGGGTGGAAGGTGCTTGAAGGTAAGTAGCTAGAAATAAAGTCAAAAAGGTAGGCCGGAGCGAGATTACAGAAGGCCCTGAATGCCACTCTGGGAGAAGATTTATTCATTGACCAGGTACTTGTTTTAATGGTTTTAAAGATTTGGAGCTGAAAGTGAAGGGCAAAAATAAACTTTATCTCTGAGCAGGTTAATTAACTGAATAGGATTTCATTGCTAACAGGTGGGAAGCAATCAATATTTTTCATTTCACGCCAGAAAGTTCTTAGCTCCTTAATAGATTTATTCCTTTAAATGAGGTTGTTTTCAGATATATTTCATTATATACAGAGATGCTGAGGTCATATGAATTAGAAGAAGAGTAGAGGAATGAGAGGCTCCAAGGAATAGTCTTCAGGAAGAAATATTAGGAAACCCAAA